AAAACTTTAGAGAAAACACAGTAAGCAGAGAGAAATAAATTTCAAATGAGAACTTTAATTAAATCCGTAACAACAAAACCAAAACACCATGATGTGAAAAAAATCAGAGATCAAAAGAGCTTTTGTAAATAAGAGAATATGAGAGCAGAAATTAAAGTCTTAAACATTTCTAAAAAATCAATTTCCCAGAAAGAGTAAAGCATAAGATTGGAAATACATTAAAAATAGGAGAAAGAGAATAGGTCCAGGAGGACAATGTCTAATTGTACTTGCAGAACAAAAAACAAAGAGGCAAGGAAATTACACAAAGTATCACAAACTTTCTCAAAGCTGAGGTCTACAAGTTACCAAAATGAAGGATTCCATGGAATGCCCAACAAAATGGATACGTATAGACTCACAGTAAGTCATTGCACATCTCTGTGACATTTCAGAATACTGGGTACAATAAAGAGAAGATTCTATAAGCTTCAAACAAAAAGACTACAGAAAATTTTACAGGGAGAGAAAAGAGAAATGCAAAGTGTTGAAAATTAGAACAGCTTCATTTTATATCATATACTAAGAATTCCTTCAAATGCTGAAGAAAAACATTCCCAAATTAGAATTCCATACCCAAACTACAGTCACAGTAAAGTGCAGACATTTACAGGAACATAATGCCTCAAAACATTTGTCTTTCAGATAGCTACTGGAAACTTGTGACCAAACAAAATGAAGATGTATACAAGACAAAGAATTACAAGGGATTCAGAAAACAGAGAATCAATCATAGGATAGAAGTTTCATGAAAGAAAACTTTATTAAGCAACTGGTCTAGCCTGGGGAGCATAACATTCCAGAAGAAATTTCTGAATCATTGTTAAACAGATAAAAATAATTGATACTTCTGAATCAATGGAGAGGATATGATGACAACCAGGAGGGAGCTTGGAAATTAGTTAATGATAAAATTGAGAAACTATATAGTGATGGTTATCCACCAAAAACTAATGATGGGGGGGTGGCTGGGGTTGTTTGTGGAATAAAAGCTAAATTTATATCATCCACAGTGAGAAATGAAAAGATAATGCCTAAGATGAAACAAATCAAGAAGTAGCAATGTAGGATGTTATTCAGAATGGAGGTAAAAGCAAAAGATTCTTCCAAAAAAAGTTTTAAGTGTTTCCTCCTAGGCTAGGGAAATAGCCATCTTGTCCAACATTACACCCTTCCTAGGCCTAAGCAAGATGAAGGGATAAAGGCCCTAGCATTTTGGTCCACCATATAGCCAACTCTAGTGAGCAAGATTCTGGAGAACCAAAGTTGTAATAAATAGGTGTGAGCTGTTTTTAATAATAAACCATGTAAAAGTAGTTGATACTTCAAGCATATGTTCTTTCCCTTCTAAAACTGTTAACTTAAAAACAAAAAGAAAAAATTGTGTGAAAACATTTTCTAAATTTTAATTAATTTGGCTTTTTATGTTGTGGAAGCCAACTGAATTTTAAAAATTTAAAACTAATGTATGACCAACTTAAAACAGAATTTTGGCTAAAAGCAGAATGATCTTGAAATCAATTTCAAAATTTAAAAACAAAAGGAAGAGGACAAGGGTTTTATTTAGGTTTAAAGGCAGACTGGATCCACATTCCTGCTGAAGTCAACAAAAAACTTTTACAATAAAAATCAAAGAAGTAAGGCAGCTAGAAAATCCATGCCAAAATCTAGGCGAATGTCAATCAGAGAAATAAACCATACAACAATCACTTTTTCCTGAGGCGTTTTACCTATCCAGAAGAAAAGGTGGAGAAACAGAAAGAAAGACTGAGCTTCTGGTGGCTTTGCTGAATAGGGGGGAAAAAAACCCAAAGCACCAGACCTACCAAACATGGGGACTCAGATAAACTATCACCCAATTTAAGTTGAGCTCTTACGGGAAACATCACCAGTATAGGGAGCATTGGAAGTAAAGAGAACTCATGTGACTTGTATAATAGAAGGAATCCAAAATCCTGAACATGAACTGATTTGGGACTGGTAACATTCCGTAAACATCTGTCCTAGAAAAACATACCTTCCTAAGAAAGATACCATTTTCCTGTAATTTATACACTATTCCTATTTTTTTAAATTTTTCACATACAAAAACCCAACACACAAGCACACAAGAAAAAACAAAACGGCAGAAACAAAATTCAGAAATTGTAATTAGTGTAGAAAATCAGGCACTGTAACTATCAGTCACAGACAAAAAATTTAACTATGACTGCTATGCTAATAAAAGCCACAACTGTAATTTAGCAAGCAGTTAGAAACTCTAAGAATAAATATAGGTGATACATTCCTTTAAATTCTGATCCACAGAATTACAAATTCCAGTGAACCCAAAACAGGAAAAAGAATTCCACACAAAAACATCATGAATAAATTGCAGAAAATCTAAAACCAAAGAAACATTTTTAAAAGCAGACTTGTTTCAAAACAGCAAGATTTTAGACTGACAGGCGACTTCCAAAATCAATAATGGGAAGCAAACAACAGTGGGATATTATTGTCAACGTGGTGAAAAACCACCATAATCCTACAATTTATTACCCCCAATACATTCTTCAAGACTGAAGATGAAATAGACACACTGTAAGGTAAACAAAAAATTAATAAGAGTATTACCCATTAGCCCATCTGCATCTAAATAATGTACCAGATAAAAGGAAAAGGATCCCTTAAGAAAATCCAGATCCGTAAGTAAGAACACTGAAAGTATAAATATATAGGGTCACGTAATTAAACAATGATGGTAGAGAACTGTGCTATCCAAACTGTAATACAATACCACCTAAATGTATAATTTTCTAGTATCCACAGTAAAAAAAAGTTTAAATTAATTTTAGAATTTCAAGATGTAACCATAGTAAGAAGTTGAATTATATATTTTTTACTTAGGTATAAAAATCTGGTGTTTTACATTTACTGAACATGACAATTCAGATGATAAATTGTCATCAGTAATATTTGATCTTTATTTTTATAAAGTTTACAATTGAAAAAGTAAACTTACATATCTAAGTAGTTACAAATATACTTAAGGCTTTTCCAACAACTGAATCAAGTATCGATTTTCAAATTTAAATTTGAATTAACACAAAATCAAAAATTTAGTTCCTCGAACATTAGGCACATTTTAAGTGCTCAACAGGCACGTGCAGTTACGTATGGCTACTGTATTAGATAGTACAAGTATAGAAACTCTTTCCTGGAGATAAAATTACTAATAAAATTCAAATATTGACAGTAACAGCATACATAGAAGGCAGTAAGAAATAAAATGAAAATAAAGTTATCCAAGAAGTGAGAAATGTTCCAACTGTACAAGAGATATTTATCACACTGCTCCAATCTAATAGAAAAACTGTGCAAAAGACTTAAAGACTACTCAAAAAAGAGAAAATCCAAATAACCAATAAATTTTAAAAAATTTAGCGTTTTTAATAACCAGGAAACTGCAAATTAAAACAAGATAAAACTATATTCATCAGTTTGGCAAAAAAAAAAACAAACTGTAGGTGAGATTTAGGAAAAAAGGGATCTATCATATATTGCTGATGCAAGTATAAATTAATGTATCACTTTGGAAAAGTTGGGCATAATCTACTTTACAAAATTGCATGCTATGCGCATAAAAATACATGTTGAAAAACAGTAACACTGTTCATAACTGTTTAAAACGGGACACGATCCAAATGTCCATTAATATTAGACTAGTAAATTGGGGCCACATACCACATTTTGTATAGTATTTTACTATCCCCCCCAAAAATTTTTTAAATGTTATCTAAGGCACTTTAATTGCTTTACTATATATTTTTTCTGTTGTAAAGTAATAAACATTTGGTTTCACTACATATAAAATTTTAAGGTACAAGACTATAGTTTTTACTTCATCTGACAAGATCACCGCACACACAGAAAAATACTAAACGCTAGACAATGATGCATAAATAGGGTCCACTGCTAAAACAAATCGAAGACAAGCAGTACTTTTAACTGATAGTTTACCAACACAAATAAATAAAAGAAACTGTAGATTCTTGGTCTTAATAGGTACCACATATGGGTGATAATCTCACAGTACCTTTACAAAGGACGACACTGGAAATATTGAAATAATTTTAAAGTTTATAAACAATGTGAAAAAAGCTATTTTACTAAAAAAAAAAACTACTAATGCAAATTCATGAATCCTTTCTTAAATACTTTGAATTATTTCTGATGAGGGAAATACTATTTCCAGCAAAAAGAGGTAGCATTTCAGAAACCAAAGGCCCTAAATCTGAGGCTAGTAACCAAAGAATCTTAAAACAAAAATACCCATTTAAAAATCTCTCACCTGTACCACAGGAAAGAAAAACCCTGATGATGTCCCTTTATCAGCAGTAACACAATTATCAAGGACTACACAAAACCCCATCCCTTTCTGAGAACACGCATAGGTGTTGTTGCAGCAACAACGCTAAGTCAAGGAGGGAAATTCCACTAAGACTTCGCAGCTTGCTCCATTCCAAAATTCGCTCCAGAATTCCAAGGAGGGTCAACTTCCAATAAAAGCACTGCGTCTATTCCTACAAGTTATCAAAATTCACACATGGAGCTTGTGTCTCCCTGGACAGGTTCCCTGCTCTGAGCTGAGGAAGGAGTCACCAGAGTCATCTGCAGAGGCTCCAGATCTCGTTTCTCTCTTTACACCGGGACCTCACCACAACCGAGTATAGCCGTCACCCCGCCACTTATCTAGTGTCATTAGTTCTCCCTGCGCTCGTTCGGGATTCATCGGAGGGCTGGCAAGAAGGCCACGAGAGAGAAGGATCCCTCTTGGTTTCTGGCCTGCCCGGCCTAGACAAGCCTGTCCCCCCGCTTCCCGCGTGAGCAGTCTCCAAAACCTTCCATTCTCCCCTTTCTATTTCGCCTTTCGCAACTGGTGCCCCTGATCTTCATCCTGAAGCCAGGCTAACCCATATTACCTCTCACAGAAAAGCCTGCCCTTAGGAGGGCAGTGCGGGGATCTAGGAACCGCAGGAAGCGCTCCACAGGCTCGCCTCGAGTGTGTGCCGACTAGCTTTACCAGGTGTTACCAATGATACACCACTACTCCCGGCATGCCCCGCTTAGCCTCTCTCCCACCCCGCCCATCTCCCGCCCCACCACGTGACCTTCTTTTGCCTCTGTTCACGCCCACTTCCGTTCCTCCACTTTCTCTTAGGAGGGAGGAGGGGACTGAGGGTGTTAAAGAGTAGCGACTTCCTCCTACTTCTCGCCCCCACCTCTCTACCCCCTGCTACAATGTCTTCCGGGTCGCGAGGGCCTCGGAGCCTTCTGGGAAACCATCTCATTTTCTCCCCTCCCCCTTCTCCTGCTTTCAACCAACCAGCCTCCCGTCAGAGAGGGACATGCGCAGTGAGTACCTCCCGTCTCTTCTACCCGAACCCCCCCTCCCCCCCAAGCAGAGAGACCCCAGCAGCAGCAGCAGCTGATGATGAAGAGAGAGGCAGTGGCAGAGGGGGGGCACCTTTTATTTCTATTTTTAAAGGGACAGGACACTAATTTTACCCCACTTCAACCTTGAATTGAGGGGGGTGGGGGGAAGGCGGCTGAGTTCCTTCCCCCACCCTCCAGCCCCGAGACCTGAGAGGGGGATTGAGCCTGAGAGAGAAGGAGAAGGAGTTTCTTCTTCTTCGAAAACCCTCATCCACGACTCCTACCCCTTCACCCCTCCAGTAGCCTCCTTCCCGAGCCCCCTCCACCCTCCTCCTCTTTGGCCGTGAGAGGAGAGAAAGAGACCAAAAGCCTCTCTTAGCAACACAGACCCTTCTCTGCTGCTGCTGCTGCTGTTGCTGGTGCTGCTGCTGCTGCTGCTACTGCTACTGCTGCTTGGCCCTGGCTGGAGACATCTCACTACACCCAGGAGCAGCCACTTCCCCACTCTCCTCCTCCTTCCCTCCTCCTCCACTCCCCCCCTTTATTACCCTTTGTGTCATCCTCCACAGCTCCAGGGAAGGCACTCCAAAGTGGGGGGCAGGAAAGGTAAGTGTGTCTGTGGGGGCTTTATTGCCTTCCTCTGGCTCTGACTTTAACTCCGGGGCAATAGCAGCACCAAACCATATACGCAGTGTAGCTCCGGGGTGAGGAGGGGGTGGTACTGGAGGGGGGGGGCGAGTGAAGGAGGGGTTGCAGTGGGGAGGGGTGTGTGAGGTGTGTGCCCATCCTGTCAGAGGAGGAAGGGCACTTTTGTTTTTATTTGCTGTTGTCAAAAGTGGTTTCTCTTCTTCAGCTAACATTTGATTGTGTCTTGCTCCAGTGGGAGAGAATACAAAAACAACCCCCTCCTTCCTCCAATAAGGCGCCAGGAAAAGAGACAGAAAGAGGCACACTTTCTAGATGTCACTTTAAAAATTTCATTTGGAGGGCTGTTTTCCTATTTCCCCAGGAAAAGCTCCACTGCATTTGTTTCTGAGTGGGAAAATGTCGGGATCTGGATTGTATTGGAACTGCTTATCCATTTGTAGACCTGAGTGTTTTCCCCTTTTTGGTTCTGTATGTGCTTTGGATATGGACTTAAGTGTTGAATCAGACTTGTTTGGTTTTTGCTCTCCGGGTTAAATTTTTCTTTTTTTTGTTTTGTCTGACCTGCATAGAAATTTTCAAATTTTTAGTTGATAGAGGCCTTTGGTTAGGTTTTCACTTGTATTACTGCTTTTTTTGTTAAATGTTTGTTTGATATATCACCATATAAAGTTCCAAGCTTATAATGCTTAAAGTTTAAATACCACTGGTACTGTCTCTACCCACATACGTTCCTAATATTTTCCATAAGATAAGAATGTTAGCTATTTCATAATTAATGTGGGTATTTTTCTAATCTTTCTAACTTGCCTGAACAAGTAATTCCCATTGAAAACTTTATGTTGTTCTGGCTTCATGGAAGGCCAAACCTCTCCATCAATAGTTTGCTGGATTGGTACCACTTTCAATTTTAACTGAATTATTTATTTACTGTTGTAAATTGAGAGGAGTTTTTCATCTCTTGGGGTACTGAACCAAATTGCTCTGTATATATGAAGGGGGGCATGTTTCTAAAATATGTTTTCATGACTCAAAGAAATCATGAAGTAGTTAGTATATTCATTGTAATTAGATATATATTGAAAGATGAATCCAGATTTAGGCTTACAGAGTAACAATGTTGACACAAATCACTATTCTCTGTTTTTACTTGGTATGTTTTCAGTGAAATGGCTTTCAAATTGAGTGCTGCATTTTATTTCACAAAAGCTAGAAAGTATGTTTCTGATGTAGGCCTTTTATTAGGTCTTACATGGGAGAGTGGTATTTTGTTTCGTACATACATTTCTTTATGCTTTCCTTGAAGATGGATGCAACACATTCATACACACACACTCATATTCTCTCTCTCTCTTTCTCTTTCTCTGTGTGTGTGTGTGTGTGTGTGTGTGTGTGTATCTCACACCCTTTTTTTGTTACTGCATTGGTATCTCTGATCCCATAATTTATGTCATCAAAAAATATTTTTCTGTAAAGCAGCAATTTTGCGATCAGACTGGCAATATGAAAACATCAATTTGATCAACTAGAAAGGATTGAAGAAAAATCTAGAAGGATGGTTGACATAAATATTATAAAGGCATGTTAATACTTTTGATTTTTTATTATCTTGATGTTAAAACCAAAACATAATACACTTATATTTTAGTGGCAGAAAAGCATTGCATATATAGAAATTGGTTCTGTAAAATTTTAATATCAACTCTGCAAAAGCAGACATTTGCACACAGGGAAAGAAAAAAGCTGTGTAGCAGTAAACAATATGGTCTTATTTCTCTCCTTTCTGTTATAAATTTGAACAGTTCCTTGCATTTCTGTGAGGTGTAAGTGGTACACTTAAGCAGAAATCTGTACCAAGTTCAAGTTTTTCTTCCAATATCAATACTGTTCCAGGTTCACCTAGATTTTCTTGTTCTTTTCTTAATACTTCAGCAACCTTAACATAAGAGATAGAAAGTAGAACTTACTGAAGAAAAGGAAAGCAAATTGTGTGGATAATTGGCGTGATGGTTGCTCAACTAAGTGAAAATGTACAGCCCTGAGCATAATACCTCTTCTTGGTTTTCCTTTGAAAACATTCCTTATCCTACGACCCTCCAGGGTTCCCCTATGTGGTTTGAAGATTCCAGACTTTGTCTAGGTTAAGCAATTATTTACATTTACAAAACCTTTCATTTTTATCCTGCCTTATTTTTAAAGTATGAAGGTATATTTTAGAATTGTAATTTTCAGCAAGGTGGTATCTTGGAGGTCACTTTATCCAACTCTTCATTTTCTGTATTGCTGAAGTTTTAAGAGTTTGAGGAACTTGCCCAGTGTTCCAAGGCTTAAACGTGGGTGGAACGTGGACCAGAGAAATCAGATCTCTTGACATTCACTCTGCTACACTATCTTACTGCCCTTCATCAGAAATGAAACTGTCATCACAATTCTGTGTATAGCACTTAAGGGTTTTTTATGGAGGCACATTCTTCTAAGAATATTAAGGTAAATAGCTTTAAAGCCATAATTTTGTCCCTTTGCAATAGAATAATTTGTTGTTGGTTTCTTTTAAAGAAGTAGTTTATTACTATTTTGGGAATTATTTCAGCTTCCCCTAATGTTTATTTTTTCCCCTGCACCTCCAATTAATCAGTAAATACTATTCTTACCCTTGTATTAAGGACCCATGTATATAAGAAAAATACATATTGTATTATAAATGTTCACTTGTGAGTCTTGCTCTATGAATTACCTAGGACCAAAGATTTTTGTCTTGTTAGCATTCATATGCCTTACAGCACAGTGTCTGGTGTATAGTAGGCCCTACTGGTTGGTTGTCATAATTGATTAGAGTTAGGCATATTTGAATTTCTTTATTCCTATTTGTGGGATTCCTTCCCTTTCTTCCTTTTTCCTTTCTTCCTTGCTACAATTTCTTCAATACCATGAATTTTATTTTTTAATTTTTACTGTGGCTCTCACTTTTTCTAATGGCCAAAGTAAATCCTGTTAACAATATAGTACTCAAAATAAGTAAAAACAGAATCCCCTAATTCTTTTACAGGATGCAATTGACAAAAGTGATTTATATTTTAAATAAGAGGATCAAAAAATTACAATTAAAAATATACTAGCAAATGTTCAGGATACACTTAAATTTCATGTCACTGAGTGACAGGTGCAGTAGGTTGTCCGAATGAATAGACGGCTTTTACCAGCTCTATAAGGCAACTGTTACTTAGGTGACATGTTTCCCTGACTTTGTTTTTTTGGTCCTTACCCAGACAATTATCAACTTTCCAGTTTTCTATGGATATGAAGATTTACTCCTAGTCATCAGTGGGACCCAATGAAGTCAGCCAGAATGCCTATATCCAACTTATGTACCTTTGCAAACTTGTCTGGATTTTGACTGTACATGCAAAACAGATTGTATTTAGCTATTATTCATTAAACATTGCTTGAATATCTACTGTCTGTCAGGCACTGTACTAGGCACCTGAGAAGTAAGGATGGCTCCTACAGTTAATGTGACGAGATAGCATAATTGTATTCCAAAAGTGTATTGGTCATATCTTTATTTTGATGTTTCTACTTAAATAAATTTTATATAACTAAATAGATAGGTGGAAGAATGCATGTTTAAAAAGGATATTGCTGTATTTTATTAAAATAGAAAAATATAAAGTAAAATTTTCCACTTAATACTGTATTCTGGGGATTTCTCTTCTGTATATAATTCACTAATTCAGACCATGAAAATAGTCTATGTAGTTATCATTACTATAGTATTTTATTGTTCTATACTTCTATTTGAAGATGTCCGACACTGTTCATTTAAGTATCTCATTATATTATTACCCCCTCCAAAAAACCCCAAACTCTCCCAACTTAAACCTTTTTTCTTAAAAGTAACTTTCTTCTTTTTATATCTCATAATAACAGGTTACCTGTCATGATTCACTGGAAAATATTGTACATTATCCTTTTGAGACTTAGTTATCTTCTATCATACCTATCATAGTTTAAGCTGACAGAATGATTTAATTATCATG